CAAAAAATGAAACTAGATCACCAACTTACACCATACACAAAAATAAACTCAAAATGGTTAAAGAACTTAAACATAAGATGGGAAACCATAAAAATATTAGAGGAATCCACAGGCAGCAAAATCTCAGACATATGCCGAAGCAATTTCTTCACAGATACAGCTCCTAGGGCAATGGAAAGTAAAGAGAAAATAAACAAATGTGACTACATCAAAATAAAAGGCTGCACAGCAAAAGAAACGCCCAACAAAACAACAAGAAAGCCCACTGCATGGGATAACGTATTTGCCCATGTTATCTCCGATAAGGGTTTAATCTCCAACATTTACAGGGAACTCATACAACTTAACAAAAGGAAGATAAACAACCCAATCAAAAAATGGGCAATGAACCTAAATAGATACTTTTCGAAAGAGGACATAAGGACGGCCAAGAGACATAGGAAAGTATGTTCAAAGTCACTAATCATCCGAGAGATGCAAATCAAAATGACAATGAGGTACCATCTCACACCTGTCAGAATGACTATCATCAACAAATCAACAAATCTCAAGTGCTGGTGAGGATGCGGAGAAAAAGGGACCCTCATGCACTGCTGGTGGGAAAGCAGTTTACACACTGTGGAGAACAGTACGGAGTTTCCTCAAAAAACTAGATTTTTTTTAAATTAATGGAATTTTCTTAGTTTAAAAGACTTGAGCCGATTCAAAAAAATTGGTTTAAAATTCTGTGATAAAGATGGATTTTCATCGTTTGAATGCTTTGGGGTTAAGGGATTAACAAAATAAGGGTGTGGACTTAGCTTAAATCAGCGGTTCTTAACCTGTGGGTCGAGACCCCTTTGGGGGTCGAACGACCCTTTCACAGGGGTCGCCTAAGACCATCGGAAAACATATATAATTACATATCGTTTTTGTGATTAATCACTATGGTTTAATTATGTTCAATTTGTAACAATGAAAATACATCCTGCATATCAGATATTTACATTACCATTCATAACAGTAGCAAAATGACAGTTACGAAGTAGCAATGAAAATAATTTTATGGTTGGGGGTCACCACAACATGAGGAACTGTATTAAAGGGTTGCGGCATTAGGAAGGTTGAGAACCACTGGCTTAAATGGTCTTCAGCATTATTTACTTTAATTACTTCAGTGCTTTCCAAATGATACCATGTATTCCTGGGAACTCAGAAGTTAATCTCACCAAATATGGTTTGATAGTTTTCTCCATGACCTCATGAGTTATTCCATGCAAATAGGAAGGCGGCTTTAAATTTCATTTCTACTTGCTGAGAACAGCTACAGAAATTGAATCTGAATCCATCAAGCCAGACTCTGTACTACCCTCTTGATTCTCTTAGGTCATATCCCAGTTCTTCAGATATAACCTAGGAACTTGGCATAGTTTTGTGATGCGGCAGTAGTAGGTCACAGTCCTCTAGGCCTATGTCGCTTTGGTTGCAGATGGCAGTGAGGTATCCATTATTTTCTAGCATGTTTCTAACATCTTTTTAACTTAAAAAATTACTGAGTCCATTGACTTTACTCTGACGTTAACTTCACAGGCGTTGACCTGAATGCCCAACTCTTGGGCAGCCAGCTTTTGGCCTGCACCCTCTCCCATAACACTCTCTTTGGGGAGGCGACCTCAGACCTGATAGTGAAGCCAGATGGACCCTATGACTTCTACCAGCACCCCAACGTCTCAGAAGCACGGCTTTGTCAACCTGTGCTTCAGGGTTTCTCAGAGGCTGTCATTCGGCTGCTGCAGGATTGGCCGGAACATCCAGCACTTGTGCAGGTAGGGTGGGTGGTGCGGAGAGGGCATGGAGGATGTGGCCTTTGCCATCCCTGCAGGAACCTTCTGGCGAGGTCTCTCTTTAGTACCCTGAGACTTTGGATGATTGGTATTAACACCTAGACACCCCCAATTCTTTTTCTCCCTGCAGCTGATGGTTGTAATGGACAGAATTCGTAGTTTCCCACTTTCCAGCCCTATCTCCAAGTTCCTGAATGGGTTAGAGATCCTTCTGGCAAAGGCACAGGTATAATGATTCCTCCTCTCCTCCTCATTTTAGTTTGTAATCAATTGAAAAAAAATATCTTGTGGCACCATTAGTGTTAGTGCGACAGAAAGTTACAGTCTGGGTTGGAGAAGGATAAACCTTGTTTTTTTCTGGCATTGCAAGGGAAACCATTACGTCTTTGAGGCATGTAAGGGACCTCCCTACCTCACCTGTTCTCAGTGGGATGCAGCGTCCATGGGCACCGAGGGCTCCTGGCCAGGACTTCTAGGTGGGCCTTCAGATTGAGTGCCTTCACACACTGTCCCCCTCAGTCCTCTCACAGGGAAGTAGCTGGTGCTTCCCTGATTATCAGATGAGGGCCCTGAACTTCACAGGGGTCATGGATTAACAACAGGAATTACGGCCCAGGTCTCCAAATCCTGTGCTTTTTGCCTGCCTCTAATCTTGGCTCTGCTGGGGTTCTGTCAGGCGACCAGAAAGAACTGGAAGCTAGATACACAGGATGTAAACACATTACTGCTCTTGGTAAATCAGCATACAAGTTGAAGGACCCAGTGGTGTTTACACAAGAAAAGCCCAGGATGTTCTTGAGGGAGGAGGTGATGAAGGGATTGAATAATGGCCATAGTAACTTTTATCTTTGTGTCTGTAGGATTGGGAGGAGAATGCAAGTCGAGCTCTCTCTCTGCGGAAACACCTGGATTTGGTCAGTCAGATGATCATTCGTTGGCGTAAACTGGAACTGAAGTAAGTGATACATTTGTCACTTCCCTTCCCTTCCTGACCTTGTGTCGCAGGAACGTGCGTGTTTGTTTCTTCTTGTTTCTGTAGTACAGCTAGAGAACAGGTAGAGAATGTGCTTTCAGTCATTAACCACAGATTAAAAGCTGGGCATTAGAACGACCTTAGTAAAGACCAGGTAACGACATACCGTCCTGAGGCAGCAAACTGGGAGTCTTCTCCATCTCCATTTAGCTGCTGCTTTTGTGGTTCTAGATATTTCAAATGGATTTCCTTTAATGTTTCCTTGGCCTCTTCTCTCATGTTTCAGCTGCTGGTCTATGAGTTTGGATAATACCATGAAGCGCCACACTGAGAAATCCACCAAGCACTGGTTCTCCATCTATCAGATGCTTGAGAAGCACATGCAGGAACAAACAGAAGAGCAGGAAGGTAACACCTGTCAGATAGTGCCTGCTTATTCAGAGGCCGGAGCTGAACTGGAGCGCTGCACAGTGTGGGATTTACCTGCACCCATGTCCCCTCCTGCCACCGCTTTCACAGGGAGGCGTCATTTGACCTCATGGTATTCCTGAGCAGTCAGCCAAGAAAGCTGTGTAGTTCTCTTAATGACAAAAGTCAGAGAGGTTTAAGTGACTATTTCCCGAGAGTAGAGAGTTAGTCATAAGGTTTCCTTAGGCTCTATATCCATGAGACAAGTCAAAATGAACGTTGCTTTCTTGGTTGGTAGCATATGTGTTTGAGTTTAAAAGTGTTTCGTTTCATACTTACAATGAGCACCTCATAATTCAGTTTCATAATTTGCTGGGAGTGCATTTAATACACCCTGAGTACAACTTGTTTCTAAATCAGCTTGCGATCCTTGCTTCAAAGCTTCCTTGTAATTGTGATCTCTGCTCGACTGCCATCCCTCAGTGGGTGCCCTAGGAGACTGCATACATGTTATGAATAGGGAATGATGGTTGCAGGCACATGTATGTTATCCTCTTTGAATCTCTACAGATGACAAACAGATGACCCTGATGTTGCTGGTCAGCACGTTACAAGCATTTATTGAAGGATCCTCACTGGGAGAATTCCATGTACGCCTTCAGATGTTACTGGTTTTCCATTGTCATGTCTTGCTGATGCCACAAGTTGAAGGAAAAGGTAAGGAGACACCATTTTTTTCTTTACTTTTATGCTGCAATGTTATAATGGGTTAGACTTTGAATTCTCCTCATGATACAGGTATCTTATTGCACACCAGGTTTTAAACACTTCCAGTCATCTTTCACTTTAATGTGATTCACAGGAGATGTAGAGATAAACATTCGATTAAAGTACAGGCTGCTTATTAGTGAAGCGCTGACTACAGAACTCTGGCAGAGGTAACCTGCCAGGTGCAGAGCTTGGGCCCAAACTGGCATGCTGAGACAGCATGCCTTTCTGTCTAGACAGTGGTATGTCCTGCTGAGCTTCTGCTTGATCCAGGCCATTGTTAGCTTCTTTGATGTAGTGAGAACACTGCCACTCATCAAGCACCTGCACACAAAACTCCTACTGTCAGTTACTTTGCCCTGACTGCAGCAACTTGGATAACACTGTCTCTGTAAAATGAGTATAGAGTGTAGGTGAATGAGCAGTCACGGTGAGCCTCTTCATATGCCACTTTTTAAACAGGCTCAGTTTCTGCTGACTTTACAATAAGATTTAAAGAAAGGGTTTGAAATTAAATTTAGCAGAATTTCTGAGTACACCATCTTTAAGAAAAAAGTGCAACAAGAAATTTCGCGATACGCTGAAATGAAAAGGTAGGGTAGTTGTTGACAGCCTGCCTCTCTGGGAACTGCTAAATTCAGATAGGCTCCCTGATGAGCCTATGAAACATACTGTAAACTTATTATCTGAAGAGTAATGAGGAAGGCACATCTCTGAAATGTGACCCCCACAGGTGGAGCCAATAGCACAAGTAGCAAGTGTGGTGTTTTTGTTTCCTTTTCATTTCTTTCAGATTCACTTTGCAGTGTTCTATGGAATTTGTACCATTATTACAAGCAATTCTTTGACCGGGTCCAAGCCAAAATTGTGGAACTTCGTTCCCCCCTAGAAAAAGAACTTAAAGTAAGATGAACAGCTGTCATGATCACTCTTGGGAGAGCAAAATCAGCAAATTGTTTTTATTTAGTTCTGTTCTTTTATCTGTTTAACAATGAGGCAGGGGCTCTGGGGAATGGAGGGGAGCATTGCAACTGCCCAGTAGGATGGCAAGATTTACATTCTGTGGCATTGGCTCCATTGTGACCTGGCTTAGTTCGTGAGGGGCTAATGGAGTAGCCCGTCAAAGACTCCTCAAGAGAATTGCCCCAGGTGTCTGTTAGTGCTTGCTCCCCTGGTCTTGCCAGGCTGATCTTCTAGCTCAGAGGAACACTGTCCATGTGCCGTGAGGTGCCACGGGGTCACGAGGACCCTCTTTTTTTTTTTTAAGTTTTTAATTATTTTAGAGGGGAAGGGATAGATAGAAGCATCGGTGAGAGAGAAACATCAACATCGATCCGCTGCCTCCTGCATGCCCCCTGCTGGGGATTGAGCCTGCAAGCCAGGCATGTGCCCTTCTTGGAATCAAACCCCGTGACCTCTTGGTGTATGGGTCTGTGCTCAACCACTGACCACACCGGCCAGGCATGAGGACACTCTCTTTTTGATACTCTCAGTGGTGATGGAACCAACCCTGATATGAGCCAGAGTACATATCAAGTGACCTTTTGATTATAGCAGTAGTCCTTTTCATTCCTTTGAGACAAACACTGGTTCCTTTTTTAGACTTGTTTTGTTCACTGACACAGCCCTGTGTTTGGGATGGAGTGGGCTCTGGTCTTTGGCAAACAGATGATCTTAAAAGAAACAGAATGATACCAGGTTTATAAAGCCATCCCTTGAGCTTCATTTATTTTACAGGAATTTGTTAAAATATCCAAGTGGAATGATGTCAGCTTCTGGTCCATTAAACAATCTGTGGAAAAGACACACAGGTAATTCATCTTTTAAAACTGGGGGTGACTAAAGCTCACAATTTGTGAATGGTAGGTAGCAAGATTACATCGTTATAATGGCCTGACTTCGTGCTGCCTAAACTTATTATAAAACACAAGATTGTTTTGGTGTGGCTTTCCAACACCATCCCCTACCACCCAAAGCCTGGTCTACCTGCAGGCTGGATTGGTGTGCCTTGAGGTGAAGCAGACTGTGTGCTGTGGAAGGCTGAATCTTCTTCCACCCACCAGCTGTTTTACCTTGAGTAAAGTGACCCCACCATCTCTGGCTTTAGTTATTTTCTCCTAGAAAAGGGAGATGACAATACTTGTCATACTTATTGTTTTAAAATATGATTGTGAGTATCTAATGGAACTCATTGTATACAAAAAGTAAGTTACATGTGTACACAGTATGTTATTTTTACATTCCCTAACTTCCATCCATTTTTCCCTCATCTCTGTTATGGCCTGGGGCCAGGACCCTCTTTAAATTCATGAAGAAATTTGAAGCTGTCCTCAGTGAACCCTGCCAGTCATCCCTGGTGGAGAGTGACCAGGAGGAGCAGCCTGACTTTTTGCCTCAGCCAACAGAAGCAACCACGAGTGAAGCATCACCCATTCGGAATCTGAACAAGGCTTTGAGGGAGACTCTGCTAGCCCGGCCAGCAGCTGCGCAGGTACTAGCTTGAGGAATAGTGTTTCTTATGCGTAGGCCAGTCAGATGGGATTTATGCTTTCTGTGTAAGGAATATTCCTAGAATTAGGTGAGGAAATACCTTTAAATTCTTGCTCTTTGGATGTATTTAGCATTTATATGTCTGCCTGACCTCACTACAGAATAAGATAAAAAGCCAGGATCCTGGTGCTGAAAGTTTAATGCTAGCCTAAAAGAAATAAGTATGCTTACTTACTTGTGAACATTTCATTTACCTATGACAGAAGATTTGAAGCATCAGTGTAGGAATATGCCATTGGAGCTGCCTTTGGGTGCTAACACTGAAGCTGCTGCACCAGGAGAGAATGTATGTAGTGATGTGCTAGGTTATAGTGGTTGCTGATGACCATGGTGTAAATACTCTCATCGTGGCCAATTTCAAGCACCAAGAGTTAAGTGGTGGCTTGCAAAATTCCTGAAAATGTAATAGTCACAGAGACTAGTGAATTGGTCTATTACAGGATGGGTGTTCCTCCTTTCTATTCTTGGTTGTAGGGAGATCCAGGATTTGGGGAGGGGAGCATGCCTCAAGACAGTAATAACTTTTGCCTTCTTCCTGTACTTCCCACTCTGGATTCATAGAGGGAGCAATGGAGTTCTTCAATCTGTTTTTAATATTTTAATAGTGCAGAAAGCATAATAGAAATTGAGCATATAGCCATGATATGGCTCTACAGATAAGATGGTTGCCAGGTGTATTTTCTTTTAATTGTACTTGTCAGCTCACTGCTTCTGTCATGCTGATCTAAAACTTTGACATGCTATTAATGACAACACAGGGATTTCAGGGATTCTTAGGGGGAAAAACAATGAAAATATGCCCTGTGGTTGAAAGCTTTTCCCTTCATCTACTATCTGGGTTCTTGATATTTGAACTGGAAGTGGCGGGCAGGGAGAGTTGGCAGTAGAAGAAGGATTTGGCAGATCAGTGTAGCCTTGCTGGGCAGCACAGCACTTCAAAGGCAGCATGCACATTCATCCTGCTGCACCCAGAGATGAGAACCAGAGTCTCTTATGGCTGGCACTGTTGTTGCCAGAGGTGAGGTGGGGTCCTTTGCTGCTGTGATCTCATTTTCTAAATAGCCACGGTTGATGCCGAATTAATTTCGGTGATGCTGCATTTATTCCTGTGAGACTTCAGAAGAGAGTTTAATATTTGCTGAGCTAGGTGTATGTGGAGGGTGAAGCATTTACATTTTAGTGCCTGAGCAGGTTAGTGCTATTACTTGTGTTCTTGGCAGGAAGACCAAACCATGTTCTGTCTCGTAGGCCGCAGTTCCACAACAGTGTCTGGGGGCCCCTTACCCCTCGGAGGGTGAGCTGCTGTATCGCTTGCCGAAGCTCACAAAACGAATGAGGAAGATGTGCCTGACGTTCATGAAGGAAAGCCGCCTCCCTCACCTAGTGGATGGCCTCGATCAGTTTACCGGTGGGTGCCTGCAGCCAGGGGCAGGGTAGGGCTTGCTCTCTCGTGTTTTTCCCAGTGGCCCAGCAGGGCTGGAATTTGTCACCTGTGTCCTTTTTTGACATTTTGAATACTGTTGAGTAGTTAATTGAATAAATAAGTGGTCTAAAAACCAGCTGAGCCCATATATAGGAGCCAACTGAAATGACACAGACTTTCAATTTTCCTCTTGTTCTCTCATCTAAACTAGTGGTGTTATGCCATTTTATAGCAGCCTTGTCTATATCAGATCCTGTTGTTTGCGGCCATGAGTAGAGGGACACAGAGATGGATTTCCCAGAGTTTGGAAGCTGTCTCTGCCTCTCAAAATGTTGTCTTTTAAGTTAAAGAAAAAGGAAGATTCACCCACAGCCCTCTTGCTTTCTTCACTTCAGAAACTGCGGTGTAGCAGTTTCATCTCCCTGAGCACTTTTGCTCAGGGACTTGAGAACCAAGATTTGCTCAGTAGTATAACACTGGCGGCTAGGGAGAGGACTCCAGCATTTAGTAGGTGGTTGGGACTCTTGGCAGCCCTTTACCACTTCCCCCAGGGTGTACGGTGTCAGAGTGAGGCTGGTCCTTCTTTCTTTCTTTCTTTCTTTTTGTTTTTAATATATTTTATTGATTTTAGAGAGGAAGGGAGAAGGAGAGAGAGATAGAAACATCGATGATGAGAATCATTGATTGGCTGCCTCCTGCATGCCCCCCACTGGGGATTGAGCCCACAACCCAGGCATGTGCCCTTGGCTGGAATCGAACCCGGGACCCTTCAGTCCGCAGACCGACGCTCTATCCATTGAGCCAAACCAGCTAGGGCATGGTCCTTCTTTCATTAGGTTATGTTTTGATCTCAGGGAGCTCCTTATTTTGAAAACTTCCTATATAATAAAGAGCTAATACGCAAATGGTCGTCACGCCCTTGCTTCAGGGCTGGGGGACCTGAGGCCAGGCTGGGGGACCTGAGGCCATGCCGCCTGCGCCAAAGCCAGGGCACCTGAGGCCGGGCCCCTCACCCCAGCGCTGGGACTGGGGGACCTGAGGCTGCGCGCTCCCCACCTGGCGGTGCTGCGCCCCCTGCCCTACGGAGCTTGGTAGGGGTGGAGCCAACCGGCTCTGGGTCTTGCATGATTTCAAGGCACACGCGTGTGGGCGGGGACTTGACACTGGGTCCCGCGGCATGCCCCAGACTCTGACAGGAGGGAGATTTTCATATACATTTTCTAATTTTCTTTCATCTCTGACACTAAAGGGCAAATAGCAACATTAAAATATTTCCTCTAATTAATTCCCTTTTAATGTGCACGAATTTCATGCACCGGGCCACTAGTATTAATTATATTAGAGGCCGGTGCATGAATTTGTGCACCAGTGGGGTCTCTCAGCCTGGCCTTTGGGATCAGGCTGAAACCGGCTCTCCGACATTCCCCGAGGGGTCCCAGATTGCAAAAGGGCACAGACCAGGCCGAGGGACCCCACTATTGGGGCCGGGGAGGGATGCGAGAGGTTGGCCAGCCC